CGCAATAACCTTGAAGTACACGAGAGTTATTCATGTAAAGTAATTATTGCTAAGAAAAGGTAAGAAAGTATTCTCCAAAAATACAATTTTAAATATAATCGACTTTATATAATAGAATCAAATGCACCAGCATAATGTAATTTTTTTCCCCTTGTAATTACAAATATAAGAAAATGTAAAAGATGTAAAAATAATGTAAAAGAAAGTTACAATTTCTTGTGAATACCCTTGAATCCCTGTGAATCCCCGTAGATATCTTCCCGAGAGATATACCTTTTCCCCCTAAGAGATTACACATACTTAAGGATAACAAAACGTGCAGCCTGCGGATGCGTTTGGCCCGTGTCATTAGAAAGAAACGAGAATGTCCGGTTTCTCGACTCTACAGGCAACAAAATAACGTAAACCTAAAAAACAGAGCTGCACAAACCGATCTGCCGATTTTCGTCTTATGTGCTGAGCTAATAAAAAAAAATAATAATAATAATAAAGAATGTGAGAATAATAAATTGATGCACGTAGCGATTATAGACAAATCTTCATCCATTCTATCGTTCAAGATTTCCGCGAAAAAAGTTTGTACAATTTCTGTTTAATTGATACAATAAATGCCGTACCGGTGCATCTGAGGAAGAGAAGAAGAAACGAGTCTAGAATTATCGAGGTATTTATAATCTATCAATTACGAAAACAAAGTTCTCCATAAAATGCAAAATAAATTAATGTCATATCGACGTGTTATGTGGTGAGAAACTAACGAGCGGAGTCTGCGACGTATGTCTTTTTTTATTTCGGGATATAATATTGATACTTATAATTGTATAAGTTCCATGTGCCACTTATATATACGTACTCGCTTGAATTACTTCTTGCGCTATATGCGCGAATTAACGTCACTGCAATTATGATTAATTAACTTGTTGCGCCGCTGAAACGTCGCTGACGCACTAACGACACATAAACGATGCAGGTATATAGTAACAAGTCATTTTGTTAAATCAATCAAGATAATTCAAAGTTGAAACTAAAGGTGTGGGAAAAGCAAGTTAGATTAATATTTCATTGAGTGTCAATTGATTTTTTGTCGGCTGTCTAAGTGATTTTATCAGAATGTTAATCTCACATGCGTCGCGTAAATAGTCATAAATATAATCTTTAGTTAGTTTGAAATAAATTCTTCTTTACTAAAAATTTTTGACATCTTTCATCTTTTCTCTCTTATATTTTCTCATTCAATATAAAATATCCTTATAAATACGCGTTATGTTAACACTTCATTAAAATCAAATCCGCTTGAAATTAAATTGGAAACAAGAGTTTGATATATCTCCGCATATAAAGCTAAATTAAAATAACGAAAGATTATTCACATTTTCGATCGCTCGTAACTCAAAAAGGTAGCCTCAACACAATCTTTGCAAATTCATACGTATAATTTCTGAGCATTCTGTACATATTCGAATTAATCTTTGTTTTTTTATTACTCTTGTCTTTCATCTTCTGGCGATAACGGAAGTGCAAAAATGCAAGTAACATTTCGCGCGACGTTTGTCCTCGAGTGTACGACCGACATTCCCGACATCGAGTGTATCGTCGTTGGAATGAAAGTCGTTGAATCGAAATTTTCAAGGTCAGCGAAGTACGTTAGATAGATTCTTGATCTATCAGGGTGTGTGAGAGAGCCAGGAAAAGATGTTGCAGGTCGAACACATGCGGAGAGAATGTGCTTCAGCAATCGCAAAAATGAATACTATGCATAACCCGTGACTCTCATGGTATTTGGTGCGCAGACACAATTTCTGTTTTGCGAAACTTTATACTATCCTTGGTTTTTCACATACACACACGCTTTGATAGCGTAAGCGAGAATCACAACTGATATACCTTCGATACGCGATCAAAACAATATCAAAAAATAATCTTGTTTTATCACGAATCGCGTATAAATAGCTGCAATACTACGCGATAGACGATGCGTGTAAACAAGACAAGAAAAACAAATGAACAACAACAAAAGAATAAAAAAATAACAAATATATGGCTTAAACAAGATGACATAAGAAATAATTATTTTAAGAGCGACGATTACGCGTATAGAAAAATACGTTGAAATCACTGACGTATGTAGGAACAATCTGTATAGATTAAAAAAGGTGCGATTCATATTACATAAAATATGTGAAAAACGTATAGAATTGCCGTGTAATTTATAATCGCCGTTTAAGAAAAAACTGGACGGATCAGCTACATCAAAAATTAAAAAATCTATTACATTTCGAGTTTCGTGAATTTAACATTGCACAAAAAACACAATTTTAGCTTTTTAAAATATAAAATTAATAATTAACTTGTAAGTTAAAGTAAAGAGATTTGGCCTGTAGAATATAATTTAATTTTAAATCGTAAATATTATCTTATATCGAACTAACTTTTTTATAGTGACTGTACACAAAAATTCGTGAAAATGAAAATTTTAATTCTACAGGCTAAAAATCTTTACTTCAACTCACAAATTATTTATTAGTCTTATATTTTAAAAGACTAAAAGCACTTTGTATGTGTGCGCGCGACACAACTTCATGAATCTCAAAATGTATTAGATTTATTAACTTTTGACGTAGCTAATCCGTCCAGAACCCTTAAATCTAATTTCAAAGTTTGCTTATAAGTTTAAATTGGCTCGTACATTTACGTCACTAAATGCAAAGTATGTGTGTCTGTCCTGCTTCATTCAAATATCAATAATTAATTTAAGAATATTAAAAAAATAAAGAGACAATGTATGATATAATATACAATAGTGCTCTTTTGAAGAAATAGCAAACCAGAAAGATTTCGTGTCTCTGAAAAAACATATATTATTTATTATAATATTGCTATATATTATGACAACATATATTTTGATTCTGCAAAAAAATACGATTCTTCGAAAAGTATGCTAATTGAGCAAAAAAAATTCTTCGATTATTATATGAGGAAATATATATAAACATGTTTGTATTATTGTCAAGAAGGAATAACATTACGCTCTGAAGTTTTGCAGATTTCATCAATTGATATCATCAATGCTAAAAGTGTCGATGACATAAATTCAGCAATAATAAGATACATGGCGAATATTTTAAGAGTTTTGAAATAAGAAATCTCCAAAACGCGTTAAAAAGAGAAATAATTTATCATTTTTCGATAGTTTTTATAAGATTGGCAGTTCTGTATGATATCGATAATTTCAATAATATGTTACTTCAATAATATAATATATAGTAATATATAATAATAAAATTTTTTTTTTTATTTCGAATGCTTTTATGTATTTGTGTATATGTTGTGTATTCTATCGTACTTTTCCAATGATCAATTAATATTTAAAAATATGAAACACCCATTGAAAAAATTGGAAAGGCGACAAAGGAGACGTAAACAGAATTAATATCTTATAATTAATGTACCTATTTAATTATAGATGTATATTATTGTTTAATTAGCGCATAATTATGATGATAACATATCTGAAAGCCTCACGTCATTTTTTAAGCACGTCATATACATTATCACCAGTCGTTTCATTGGTTTTTTTCATAACTCATACGCGATAGCGAATAGAAAATGCCTCCGCTATCTCTGCGACAGGCTAACGATATTATTGAATCAAACGTCAGAGCACGATCGCAAGTGCAAGTGCATTGCAAGTACAATATATTTGCAGCCTTCACTCTAATGTAATGTTGCAACAATCGCTTATGATAAATGAGCGGTTAAAGATCATTCAAATTTTTATCAAAAGCATAGTCCTAACGCGACTTTTTATAGTCATCAAGAATATCGAGCAAATTTTTTTCAGTCACTATCTCGGTCGTATGTGAAATATTATGTTACCATTCTGCATGTTGCTAAAGTTTTATTTAAGACGTAATTTTATTTATGCGGGGAATAATACTTATATTGATGTTGATAAAAATTAGCAATATTTCTTTTAAAAATTAATCAAATTTTTTTCTTTAGCAAAAGTATTCTTTTTTACATGAATTTATTATATCTTAATAATTTTAACATGAAATCTATTTCTATTAAAATCAAGTTAATTCTCCAAATTGAACGGTCATTATTTTTTATATTTTGGTAGTCTCTGCTTTTTCTAAAGCAATATACATATATATGTATATTATGTGTACATAAATTGAAGAAATATTATTTTTAAATATAAACGTTATTTAATTAAATCAATATTGTTGTGCAATAAATTTATGCAAAGCTTAAAAAATTACTCAAGATATAATGGCAAAAGAATTTACTTAAATCGACAAGTGATTTGCATTTTTATAAGCAAATTTACCGGTAATGCGATAGATAATTGATCGTAATCGACGTTGGAAGTTTTTTTTTGTTGAATCTATAAACACTATATACCAATGACTTTTTTCAATTAAAAAATGTTCGCGATCATAAAAATCTCTCACGTGAGCAAGAAAAGACGATTCGCGAGGTCGTGTTATGCATACTCAAATACGCATATCAAATGTTCTTTTCTTGCCGTTAATTTAAAATTGTCGTCACAATCGCGCATCCAATAAGTTTCTCGTTAGACGACGATATCGTTCAGCTTAACGCAATACAATACTTGTCGCAGTACTTTAGTGCCATATAAAGAGACGAGACGAACTGGATTTTTCTCGATCGCGGAATAGCGCTATCTCTTTCTGTTTCTCTCTCTCTCTCTCTCTCTCTCTTTCTATCTCTTAGGTGAACGAACCTATAACACGAAGCGTTGGAAATGATAGAGCCGAGTTATTTTTATAGCAAGAACTGAATGAAAACGCAGTTTCTACCAGACTATAATTTCTGACTATTTCTGTAGCAATTATTTTCTGTATTGCGGTTGCCGCCGTTTTGATCTTCTACGAAACTTACTCTGCGATTCTAAATCATTTTTAATGCTTCTTGTATTACGCGATGTCCTATAAATTTGTTAAAAAAATTAAATGTCTGACAAATTGACTCACCACATTATGCAGCTCTGCGTTCGAATGAGTATCAAGAAGATTCATCTTTCTGAAGCGTCTCGATGATTGATGCACTTTACCCGACATTTTGTACATTTATCGAACACCATAAGCAACGCTTTCGGTACGATTTCTCCGCGGTTTCGCTGCAATTTTAAGATATGTTAAAAGGAGTTTTGCGATGCAACTTTCTTTATGAGAGATGTTGGAGTATAGTTTTCAAGAATAAATTCCATAGTTAAAAAGCATTCTTCCTCTCTAAAAACTATTATATTTTGTTAAGAGAACCGATTGTTTCGTGCGTGTATATGTTTGTGTGTGTATGAGAAAGAGGAAAATTGAAACTATTCTTTTTTACGAGGATTAATAGAGAACGTTAAAAAAATCTTCATAGTTACGAAATACTCTGATATTATTATGACATTCTTAAGACAAATAAGGGCCTCTATCGAATCGAATCGAATAAATAATCGAAATTATCTTACCTCCGAACGGACGTACGTTTGCTATGAAACTCCATATTTATCGAAGAGGACGTTACCGTAAAGGAAATTTTTCAAACCGGTGCTGCGCGCCTAACGGTCTAAGTTGCGTTCGTAAATCTGCCTGTCGGAACAGATATGTTTGACTGGCCAATCAGAGATGTTTGCTCCGTTCACCCCATTGGTCAATCAAACGTTACTCTACCCGATGATTACATTTTCGAACGCAACTCTGAAGTGCGGAGAGAAATTCAAGATTGGCAACAGTGCGCCAAATTAAACTGTTACTGGTTTGAAAATCGGCAATTCTTTTCTGAGATGAAGAAGTGTTGTTATCATTAGTTGTTAGTCACTCAGCTGTGTGACAATTTCTATGAAAAACGGAGACATGGAAAAGAATTCGTTTTCGAATTATTTCGGTGAATTGCGGCACAAGGCGCATGAAATCGATGAGGGCACCGATAAACTCGCCGAGACCTGGAAGATACCGCATCTTCTCGTCGGCGGTTACGCGGAGCGCACCGCCCAGACGAATGCGTGCCTGGACGAAATGTGGGAGTCTCTTCGGGATACTAGCGTGAGTTCCACTGGAAATTATATTACTCAATGTTACTCAATGAAATGCACATCTTTCTGTATGCAAAAGAAAAAAAATTCAATTTTAAATCAATCACACAACGCACATACATGTTTATCATATACTACTATATTTAAAAAATGGTAATATATTACTACACTATTTTTATTCTTGTAATAATATTATTGTTAATGTTATGTATTTTAATATGAATAAATTTCAAGCATAGTCAGTTTTATATGGAATTATGTAATTAATTACATCAGGATAAATTGGAGAAAATTCAATCAGAATTCAAACCATTGCTGGAAGACATGGATCAATTATTAAAAGAATCGGATAAGATATATCAAGACTTGAAGGAACAATGCGACGATTTGGATATTGTTCTAGCAGAATATGGGTATCATTATAAAGAGGATGACAATGTGCAAGAGAAACATTGTCGGTAATGCGATAAATTATTTTATTTTAAGAATTAATTAGATAAATTTTTGTTCCTGAAAGAAATTTGATACTTGTAATTTCATGCATATTATGTATATATTACAGAAATGAATGTTTCTCTCTTTTTAGAGATGATAGTAAAGATAACACAAATGACAGCATTTTAAGAGTTGAAGATGCGTCTGAGTTGGAAATAGAGTTTACACCATTCTTAACATGGAAGTGCAAGGCTAAGTCCAAGGAGAATCAGATGTTTCCAGCATAATCTATTAAGGATAGTAGGATTTCTTTAATTTATGCTGGAATAAATGTCCGATTCACCATTGATGCAATTCCATGTAAAAGGCTTGTTTATAGGCTATATACATTTATGTGAAAAAATCAAATTCAAAACATCTTACAAAAGTATTGAGAAGATAGATTTAATTTTAAAATTTTTTCTCTGAGTCTATTGATTTCAATAGTATACCTAGATAAAAGACAATATATTTAGTTTACTTTTAAAAAAAGCACAAGCTGGCAGAAGTATAGACTAGATTTTTACATATATTTTTGTTAATAGATGTATAAATAAAATATGATTAGGGTTGTAATATAATAAAGATGGGGAAAAAACTGCAAAATTAGCTTTTAATTATCTTTAAACTATGTATATATTTTTATAATATAGAATTTTGCAGCTGGACAGTTTTGTAAGAAAGTATCAAATAAAAAAGAAAACATTTTCAAGGTGGCATCTCTGTGTGATAACTTCAGCATGAAAGTTAATCCTATATACATATATAACCTAACTTACTTCAACCTAAATCTTAACCTTAAAATTACAAAGATGCATTGTAGAATCGTTAAAAGTGACGCAAATACATACTAGTTTTTCGATATAAGATTATAAGAATTACTAATTATTAATCAAAATTGGGGTAATAAACGATAAATTGATTCCGTGATGGGTAAGTTAAATGTTACTGAAGCTTATTTAAATATGCACATATATCAAGAGTTTCTTATTACTTGCAGGAAATAAAAACAAACTTTGTCAGCACAAAGATATTTTTGAACGTATGAATTATTTATATCAAGTATGTAAAGAATGTATGAAATTTATTATTTTCCGATAATTATAATCTTTATATATTCAATTAGTATATTATATATTCTTGACTTGATAAAGTAACCTAGAAATTATTAAAAATTGCTATTGTTATTTAAAATTTTGTCACAGGCTAGTCATCTAATGGCATTAATAGATCGATGTACAGCATCTTACTTTGGTAATAATATGGTGGGTTGTGCCAAAAAAGCAGTATTACGCATGTAAGTCTCTAGACATCGTTGGTCTCTTTGTGAAAAGTGAAATATATATATATAACAAATTCTTGGAAATTAATGGAAGTTATCAATTTCTTTAGGGAACCGAATTTAAAGAGAAGCATATGTAAATGTTGTCAAACTCCACTTATACCTGGGGAGACAGCTAGAGTCAGATTAACATCAAAGCCTATAAAGAGGGTTAAATGGACATGTCTGACTTGTATGCATACTAAACAATTTCCTACGAGAAAAGGACACAAATTGTGGCTTGATCAACCGGAAGCAATAATCGAGACATTAGATTATACACCAAAACCAAAGAACGAAAATGTTAAAAAATCTGATGCCCCTGAGAAAATAAATGAAAAAAGGTAAATTCTAAAAATTTTGAAAATGCCAGTTAGTGTATCTCTGAAACAAATCCATTTTATACATTAACTTAGAATCTGGTGTACGAATATTTTTTATTAATGACTTACATAAAATATGTTACAATATTACAATAAATTTGTAATTAATAAACAGATACTTTTGCTAACTGGAATATTCATAACCATCTAGTAATATGTAAATATTATCTTATATCGAACTAACTTTTTTATAGTGACTGTACACAAAAATTCGTGAAAATGAAAATTTTAATTCTACAGGCTAAAAATCTTTACTTCAACTCACAAATTATTTATTAGTCTTATATTTTAAAAGACTAAAAGCACTTTGTATGTGTGCGCGCGACACAACTTCATGTGAATCTCAAAATGTATTAGATTTATTAACTTTTGACGTAGCTAATCCGTTCAGAACCCTTAAATCTAATTTCAAAGTTTGCTTATAAGTTTAAATTGGCTCGTACATTTACGTCACTAAATGCAAAGTATGTGTGTCTGTCCTGCTTCATTCAAATATCAATAATTAATTTAAGAATATTAAAAAAATAAAGAGACAATGTATGATATAATATACAATAGTGCTCTTTTGAAGAAATAGCAAACCAGAAAGATTTCGTGTCTCTGAAAAAACATATATTATTTATTATAATATTGCTATATATTATGACAACATATATTTTGATTCTGCAAAAAAATACGATTCTTCGAAAAGTATGCTAATTGAGCAAAAAAAATTCTTCGATTATTATATGAGGAAATATATATAAACATGTTTGTATTATTGTCAAGAAGGAATAACATTACGCTCTGAAGTTTTGCAGATTTCATCAATTGATATCATCAATGCTAAAAGTGTCGATGACATAAATTCAGCAATAATAAGATACATGGCGAATATTTTAAGAGTTTTGAAATAAGAAATCTCCAAAACGCGTTAAAAAGAGAAATAATTTATCATTTTTCGATAGTTTTTATAAGATTGGCAGTTCTGTATGATATCGATAATTTCAATAATATGTTACTTCAATAATATAATATATAGTAATATATAATAATAAAATTTTTTTTTTTATTTCGAATGCTTTTATGTATTTGTGTATATGTTGTGTATTCTATCGTACTTTTCCAATGATCAATTAATATTTAAAAATATGAAACACCCATTGAAAAAATTGGAAAGGCGACAAAGGAGACGTAAACAGAATTAATATCTTATAATTAATGTACCTATTTAATTATAGATGTATATTATTGTTTAATTAGCGCATAATTATGATGATAACATATCTGAAAGCCTCACGTCATTTTTTAAGCACGTCATATACATTATCACCAGTCGTTTCATTGGTTTTTTTCATAACTCATACGCGATAGCGAATAGAAAATGCCTCCGCTATCTCTGCGACAGGCTAACGATATTATTGAATCAAACGTCAGAGCACGATCGCAAGTGCAAGTGCATTGCAAGTACAATATATTTGCAGCCTTCACTCTAATGTAATGTTGCAACAATCGCTTATGATAAATGAGCGGTTAAAGATCATTCAAATTTTTATCAAAAGCATAGTCCTAACGCGACTTTTTATAGTCATCAAGAATATCGAGCAAATTTTTTTCAGTCACTATCTCGGTCGTATGTGAAATATTATGTTACCATTCTGCATGTTGCTAAAGTTTTATTTAAGACGTAATTTTATTTATGCGGGGAATAATACTTATATTGATGTTGATAAAAATTAGCAATATTTCTTTTAAAAATTAATCAAATTTTTTTCTTTAGCAAAAGTATTCTTTTTTACATGAATTTATTATATCTTAATAATTTTAACATGAAATCTATTTCTATTAAAATCAAGTTAATTCTCCAAATTGAACGGTCATTATTTTTTATATTTTGGTAGTCTCTGCTTTTTCTAAAGCAATATACATATATATGTATATTATGTGTACATAAATTGAAGAAATATTATTTTTAAATATAAACGTTATTTAATTAAATCAATATTGTTGTGCAATAAATTTATGCAAAGCTTAAAAAATTACTCAAGATATAATGGCAAAAGAATTTACTTAAATCGACAAGTGATTTGCATTTTTATAAGCAAATTTACCGGTAATGCGATAGATAATTGATCGTAATCGACGTTGGAAGTTTTTTTTTGTTGAATCTATAAACACTATATACCAATGACTTTTTTCAATTAAAAAATGTTCGCGATCATAAAAATCTCTCACGTGAGCAAGAAAAGACGATTCGCGAGGTCGTGTTATGCATACTCAAATACGCATATCAAATGTTCTTTTCTTGCCGTTAATTTAAAATTGTCGTCACAATCGCGCATCCAATAAGTTTCTCGTTAGACGACGATATCGTTCAGCTTAACGCAATACAATACTTGTCGCAGTACTTTAGTGCCATATAAAGAGACGAGACGAACTGGATTTTTCTCGATCGCGGACTATCTCTTTCTGTTTCTCTCTCTCTCTCTCTCTCTCTCTTTCTATCTCTTAGGTGAACGAACCTATAACACGAAGCGTTGGAAATGATAGAGCCGAGTTATTTTTATAGCAAGAACTGAATGAAAACGCAGTTTCTACCAGACTATAATTTCTGACTATTTCTGTAGCAATTATTTTCTGTATTGCGGTTGCCGCCGTTTTGATCTTCTACGAAACTTACTCTGCGATTCTAAATCATTTTTAATGCTTCTTGTATTACGCGATGTCCTATAAATTTGTTAAAAAAATTAAATGTCTGACAAATTGACTCACCACATTATGCAGCTCTGCGTTCGAATGAGTATCAAGAAGATTCATCTTTCTGAAGCGTCTCGATGATTGATGCACTTTACCCGACATTTTGTACATTTATCGAACACCATAAGCAACGCTTTCGGTACGATTTCTCCGCGGTTTCGCTGCAATTTTAAGATATGTTAAAAGGAGTTTTGCGATGCAACTATCTTTATGAGAGATGTTGGAGTATAGTTTTCAAGAATAAATTCCATAGTTAAAAAGCATTCTTCCTCTCTAAAAACTATTATATTTTGTTAAGAGAACCGATTGTTTCGTGCGTGTATATGTTTGTGTGTGTATGAGAAAGAGGAAAATTGAAACTATTCTTTTTTACGAGGATTAATAGAGAACGTTAAAAAAATCTTCATAGTTACGAAATACTCTGATATTATTATGACATTCTTAAGACAAATAAGGGCCTCTATCGAATCGAATCGAATAAATAATCGAAATTATCTTACCTCCGAACGGACGTACGTTTGCTATGAAACTCCATATTTATCGAAGAGGACGTTACCGTAAAGGAAATTTTTCAAACCGGTGCTGCGCGCCTAACGGTCTAAGTTGCGTTCGTAAATCTGCCTGTCGGAACAGATATGTTTGACTGGCCAATCAGAGATGTTTGCTCCGTTCACCCCATTGGTCAATCAAACGTTACTCTACCCGATGATTACATTTTCGAACGCAACTCTGAAGTGCGGAGAGAAATTCAAGATTGGCAACAGTGCGCCAAATTAAACTGTTACTGGTTTGAAAATCGGCAATTCTTTTCTGAGATGAAGAAGTGTTGTTATCATTAGTTGTTAGTCACTCAGCTGTGTGACAATTTCTATGAAAAACGGAGACATGGAAAAGAATTCGTTTTCGAATTATTTCGGTGAATTGCGGCACAAGGCGCATGAAATCGATGAGGGCACCGATAAACTCGCCGAGACCTGGAAGATACCGCATCTTCTCGTCGGCGGTTACGCGGAGCGCACCGCCCAGACGAATGCGTGCCTGGACGAAATGTGGGAGTCTCTTCGGGATACTAGCGTGAGTTCCACTGGAAATTATATTACTCAATGTTACTCAATGAAATGCACATCTTTCTGTATGCAAAAGAAAAAAAATTCAATTTTAAATCAATCACACAACGCACATACATGTTTATCATATACTACTATATTTAAAAAATGGTAATATATTACTACACTATTTTTATTCTTGTAATAATATTATTGTTAATGTTATGTATTTTAATATGAATAAATTTCAAGCATAGTCAGTTTTATATGGAATTATGTAATTAATTACATCAGGATAAATTGGAGAAAATTCAATCAGAATTCAAACCATTGCTGGAAGACATGGATCAATTATTAAAAGAATCGGATAAGATATATCAAGACTTGAAGGAACAATGCGACGATTTGGATATTGTTCTAGCAGAATATGGGTATCATTATAAAGAGGATGACAATGTGCAAGAGAAACATTGTCGGTAATGCGATAAATTATTTTATTTTAAGAATTAATTAGATAAATTTTTGTTCCTGAAAGAAATTTGATACTTGTAATTTCATGCATATTATGTATATATTACAGAAATGAATGTTTCTCTCTTTTTAGAGATGATAGTAAAGATAACACAAATGACAGCATTTTAAGAGTTGAAGATGCGTCTGAGTTGGAAATAGAGTTTACACCATTCTTAACATGGAAGTGCAAGGCTAAGTCCAAGGAGAATCAGATGTTTCCAGCATAATCTATTAAGGATAGTAGGATTTCTTTAATTTATGCTGGAATAAATGTCCGATTCACCATTGATGCAATTCCATGTAAAAGGCTTGTTTATAGGCTATATACATTTATGTGAAAAAATCAAATTCAAAACATCTTACAAAAGTATTGAGAAGATAGATTTAATTTTAAAATTTTTTCTCTGAGTCTATTGATTTCAATAGTATACCTAGATAAAAGACAATATATTTAGTTTACTTTTAAAAAAAGCACAAGCTGGCAGAAGTATAGACTAGATTTTTACATATATTTTTGTTAATAGATGTATAAATAAAATATGATTAGGGTTGTAATATAATAAAGATGGGGAAAAAACTGCAAAATTAGCTTTTAATTATCTTTAAACTATGTATATATTTTTATAATATAGAATTTTGCAGCTGGACAGTTTTGTAAGAAAGTATCAAATAAAAAAGAAAACATTTTCAAGGTGGCATCTCTGTGTGATAACTTCAGCATGAAAGTTAATCCTATATACATATATAACCTAACTTACTTCAACCTAAATCTTAACCTTAAAATTACAAAGATGCATTGTAGAATCGTTAAAAGTGACGCAAATACATACTAGTTTTTCGATATAAGATTATAAGAATTACTAATTATTAATCAAAATTGGGGTAATAAACGATAAATTGATTCCGTGATGGGTAAGTTAAATGTTACTGAAGCTTATTTAAATATGCACATATATCAAGAGTTTCTTATTACTTGCAGGAAATAAAAACAAACTTTGTCAGCACAAAGATATTTTTGAACGTATGAATTATTTATATCAAGTATGTAAAGAATGTATGAAATTTATTATTTTCCGATAATTATAATCTTTATATATTCAATTAGTATATTATATATTCTTGACTTGATAAAGTAACCTAGAAATTATTAAAAATTGCTATTGTTATTTAAAATTTTGTCACAGGCTAGTCATCTAATGGCATTAATAGATCGATGTACAGCATCTTACTTTGGTAATAATATGGTGGGTTGTGCCAAAAAAGCAGTATTACGCATGTAAGTCTCTAGACATCGTTGGTCTCTTTGTGAAAAGTGAAATATATATATATAACAAATTCTTGGAAATTAATGGAAGTTATCAATTTCTTTAGGGAACCGAATTTAAAGAGAAGCATATGTAAATGTTGTCAAACTCCACTTATACCTGGGGAGACAGCTAGAGTCAGATTAACATCAAAGCCTATAAAGAGGGTTAAATGGACATGTCTGACTTGTATGCATACTAAACAATTTCCTACGAGAAAAGGACACAAATTGTGGCTTGATCAACCGGAAGCAATAATCGAGACATTAGATTATACACCAAAACCAAAGAACGAAAATGTTAAAAAATCTGATGCCCCTGAGAAAATAAATGAAAAAAGGTAAATTCTAAAAATTTTGAAAATGCCAGTTAGTGTATCTCTGAAACAAATCCATTTTATACATTAACTTAGAATCTGGTGTACGAATATTTTTTATTAATGACTTACATAAAATATGTTACAATATTACAATAAATTTGTAATTAATAAACAGATACTTTTGCTAACTGGAATATTCATAACCATCTAGTAATATCATGATACCGATAATAGTTTTACATTAAATGTATTCTTAGAAATAACTCGCAAGTGTTAAGTTATCGAGTACGTAGTTGCGATACGTTTTTACGGCAAGCGACATCCGTAGGGAATTCCCGAGAGTCACAATCTGTGTTCTCAGCCGAGGACGGTTTATGGAAATGCTATTAAAGTGTAAATCTGACACGATTTCTCGGAAGCTAGATATCATTTCGCCATAATGACACAATAGAATTCGCTACGAACGTCATTACTTCATCTAACTATGATATGACTATGTCCGCCCATCGCCAGCGACTCGTGCAAAACCATTACGAGTTAATAAATCATTGCACTCATACTCGGGCGCAATCAAATCACAGTTTAATCGGGAAGAAAGAATATCAGTCGTTTAAAACATACTATCTTAAATAAATATGCTAAATACAATATAACTTAGAAATTGTGTGTACGCTATCTTAATTACGTTCTATATTGTGCACTTAGCAACAATGGCTCGATTACTTGATTGATCGGATACAACAACTGCATCGTGTCGATGCCAAAAATGTGGCAGTGATCGTTGTAAAACGTGCGTACAAGATGCGTTTACACGGTTGGAACGCATGTACGTAACTTCGGAAACGCATAAATACTAAACTAATGAGGAAAATAATACGAAAACTGGGCTGGACGGAATCTACACATTCACTTATATACATATATCTGTCGTGCCAAGCTTCGGTCGTGTCGAGTTATCTCACAGTGCCTATTTTATCACTAGCTTATATTCTTCTCTCTTCTTTTTTTTTCCTTTTTTTTTTCTTTTTTTGATTCTCCTAAAAAGTAAATCTAACAGTAAAGTCAGATGGGACCCCAGGTTGGCAACGCACACATATATACATGCACACATCAGCTACAGGGATTAATTACTCCAGTAATATTGACTGTGTCGTTCGTCGTCACTCTTCATCTTGAGTTCTCTTGCGGAAGAGTTCAAACTGAAAATGGCAAAAGTCACGTAAGTGAGAGGGAAAGGAGATAGGGCAGATCTCGCGAATGTCGTGTCGCTCGTCTCTACACGCGTCTACTCGCAGGACAAACCCGACCAATATTTAACTCGGTTATTGTCAAAGAGGTGTGTGCATGCGAGTCGCCCGAAGAGTACGCTCCGAAGAGGCGCGTGCAATGAACAAGAGCCGCGGACAAAGAGGTACAACGTACGGCGACGGAGCTTATTTAAAGATAGAAAGTGGAAGGAAGAGGGATGGCAAGGGGAGGGCTGAAAATGCCCGCGTAGAGTCAGTTTATACTAGCCCCGAAACGAATTGGGGCTGGCCGTCGCGGTCGAGCGTCAGTTGCGGCATCACGTTTGGGGAAGGCTGGAATGTTGATCCTTGAAAACCCATTGCCGATTCGTATAACTAAATAAAACAACGATCATTTATAAATTATATTTTACAGTCTAGGCAAGTCACACTGACAGTCATTAATATTACTTGTCTTTTTTATGTATTGTTTTTTTGAATGAGAAGAAATAATTACAGATAAAACAAATATCTTATATCTTAATCATACATTTTTCTTTTGCTATTTCCAACTCATGTAAGTGATGTAGATTATCATAATTTGCAAAATATTCACATTATATTGCAGAAACTGTATGATTTTTAAAAGAAAAAACTCCAGTAATCAGAGTTAGTCAAATTTGTCAGTGTAACAAGACACCTCGCAATTATAATGTTAGTTATTAGATTTACTTGGCATACATTATGATTTCCTGGAAGCGTGGTATAATCCGGTGTGGTCGGACGATGCCTGTTTGTAGGCAACGGATGCTGTATAGTGGCATAAGTATTATCTTGAGACGTGTCTCCCATACCGACGCTTACACCACTGCCGCGTCTCTCACCAACGAGACCACCTTCGGGTTCGCTAAACACTTGCATCGTTAACTCTTGCTCTTCGTAGAGTTTCAATTTTCTGCAATCAGAGAAATGTTTCGTTGTATATCACGCATAATGGTAAAACTCTTCTGTAAAACAAGACTTACTGCTCGATCCACAAGGGATTCTCCGTCGTATTTAATTCGTCGATGATCTGTTTCTTAATTAGGCCATCTTTCTTACGTATATCATTTGGCACAGTTATTACCCTAAAAGTGTCAGATGTAGATATATCGAATAAGAATAAAAGCTTATATTTTTTTTGTAATATTTGAATATTCTTACCAATGGCGTAAACAGCAACAGACTACTGTAACAGTGACTGCTCCTACGAGCAAAACAACTAACAGAGCTATTAGAGCAGCGAGTGCAGGATCGAATGGTTCTTCTTGAACTCCTGCGTATGCAGGCTGAAAAATAGATTAAGCACATATATGGCAATATATTTGGGTAATTGTACAAAGCAATTTTATTTTGCTTCTTATATCACAAGATAATTTATTCTATACAGTTTGCAAGTAATCATATTTGAGATACTATATTCTTATATTAAGATTTAAAATAAACAGCACTCACCACGACATTTTCAATAGCAAATCCGGCATAGTAGTGCTTCAAGAAATCGTATTTCGCATCGATAACTTTAAGGACGTGAGGAATCGGTGCAATGGTTTGAGTTTTTGGTTCGACGACGTGCAAATACATATCACACCTATTACAAAAGTTTCAGATTACATATTTCTTACTACAGATTCAATATTTCCTACAAATCAATGTAGATTAAGTTAGAATAGGGAGTAAAATTATATTTGTATGTCATTACCATTCTCTACGAATGTGTCCAGAAGCATCAACATGATATCTAATGTCGTCCACTACGACTCTGCTTTGCGTAGCGTTAGATAACTCTGAAACAATCTCGTCACGCTCGCTATTCACCTCCTCCGGAGGCCGGGACAGTATGACTCGTATTAATTGAGACGGTTCGAACACCCATACCTGGAGAAAAAGCGGAAAATAATTGTAAAGTAGAAGTAAATATCTAATTAAAATACTCTAGTATTAAACATTAAAAATTATTTATAAAATCAAAAAAAGAATTTACAACAGGAAAACTTACGTGAACTTTGGTCATTGCATATCTTTCTGGAATTGCCGTCTCTTTAGCGATGACTTCGACAATAAATCTGTCTTGATTGTATTCCGCCATATATCCGCTCGTGACGAGTTTACCATCCTGAGTGACGTTGAACGGGCTCGGCACTATGGAGCCGCTCGGCTTTTCCGAGCTGTATTTGTAAAGATTCGCGCTGGCGACATAGTAATGGAGAGTGCCGTTATCACCTACATCCAAATCGGACGCGGTTACCTTTGTCACGAAGTCGTTTATATTCGCCATAGAATTCACCCCAGCGTAATAATCATTGCGCTCGAAAATCGGCGGATTATCGTTTTCATCCAGCACGATTATCGTCACATTCACATGTCCGTGTTCCGGATGAATCAACGGCTTGCCAGATTGCGCGGGATTGATGTAGAGATCGGGATCATTAGACGCGAGAATGGAGAGGACGTACTTGTCTCTCATCTCGCGATCAAACGATTTATTTGCGTAGATGCTGCCATCGGATTTGTCCATGTAAAAGGCATATCCTTCGTTTCCTGTAAAAAATGAACAATATATTTGTAAGGAATAAATCTTAATTACTAATATATATTTATTTGTTGAAAATTAAAATGTTGTGAAAGACAGCTAAAGTTTTTCAATTTAAAATTAACCTTTATTTGTCGAATGCGACCACATAAGAAGAAAATGATGTTCTAAACATATGATGATATCATATTTGTACATTTACCTGCTTCTATATAATAGTAGACCTTGGCATGTCTGCCTTCATCTTTGTCTTCCGCTGTTACTTTGCCGATGAAATAATCTTTCGGTCGATTTTCTGACACATGAAAATTATATTCTTCGTAAAATTGTGGCACGTTATCGTTCGTATCGACTAACTGAACTGTTAATAGCCGCAATGTCTCGTAAGCTGTAGGACTGCCGTGATCAGCCGCCACAAGAACAAGCTGAAAAAAATTTTGTATAGAATCCTAATCATTCCGTTTAAGAGAAATGGTTTAACATATTATCTACTTCAAATTTGCTCTTAATTTCACGATCGAGGATGATCTTTGACCGAAGTTCGCCGGTCTCTTGGTCTATAGAGAATTCCTCGGTTTCCTGAACGTTTCTATTGCCGATCTTCAAGTGATAGCTAACACGGCCGTTCTCGCCGGGATCTCTGTCGATCGCTTTTACAGTCAATATTAGATAATTCGGAACACCTGCATTCTGAAAATTGAAATATCAACTTTTTGTAGTAGGTTAAAATTTTAATCTTTATTTTGTGCAAATAGAAAACGTTACTTTTTGAAACATACTTCCGGTACTTCTACGGTCGCGTTCGTCAATTCCGGCATCACGAATTGCGGTTTATGTTGATTCACCGGAGTAACTCTTATGTCGACATAACATCTGTCCGAATGTGGACCATTTCCGGCGCCATCACGTGCTTCGACTTCGATCCTGTAAGAACCGGCTCTGCCAAGAAGGGCGGCTGCGGGATATAGGATGCCGGTTTCGCGGTTTAGCGAAAATGATTCATTTTCGTTCCCATTGATGATTGTATACCAGACTTCGCCGTTCGTTCCTTCGTCTTGATCTACAGCTCGTACCTTAAAAAACGACATGATGACATGGATTTCGACAAATATTTCCGAAAACTTTTACAATTTCAAACATTCAACAAAAATTTTGTAAAATTTTTTGAAAAATGTTAAAAGTTAAAAATTGAAAACTGAAAAGAATAATTTGATCCATCGACATTTTCTTTACGGAAAAGCTTAAGCTTTATATAAATTTATCAAATTTTTGCTACATTATAAAATTTCACTGTAATTGGAAAAAGACAATATCAGAGAGAGTTTATGATATTATAAATTATCATTTTATAGAATTACCTTTAAGCATGTTTAAAGGATTGTTTTAGACATTAGATTTCAAGCAATACCTGTAGAATAGGTGCCGGCGGGTTGACGGACAAATTCTCTGCGACGGATGCTCTGTAGCTATGTTGCGAGAATATTGGTCTGTTATCATTTTCATCAATTAACTTGACAACTACCGGCACAGTGGTGCTTCGTCGAGAATTGACATGAGCCCCGTCGCTGGCCATCACCGTTATAGTGATTTCCGGCGTCATCTCTCTATCGAGAACTGTGGCACCACCCACGGTAATCTCTCCCGTTTCGTGCCCTAATAATTGCATAAGCTAGTACAAATATTCATAAAAAATTGAATGCTGAAAAATTTCTATTATACTTAGAACAAGAAAAAAAGCAATAGAAATTAATTTAAACTGTTTAACGCTAACTTCAATTTAATAATGCTTCCTACATCATTATAGTGTAGTGTAATCAATCAATTGTGCTAATTTACCAATGTTAAAGTCAGCAGCGTGTTCGCCAATTAGGCTGTAGGTGACATCGCCAAAAGGTCCTTCGTCGCCATCCGTAGCTTTCACGACGGTAACATGAGTGCCAGGTGGAGAATTCTCTTTTACTGATACATTATACAGTTCCTTTTCAAATTTTGGATCTTGATCGTTCACATTGATCACGGTAACGATAACTTTCGCAGTCGCGGAAAGTTGGGGCACTCCGGAATCGTAAGCGACTACCGTGAATTCCAGTTGCTTCGTTTCTTCATAATCGATCACTTGACTAGTTCTTACGATTCCTGTGAATGAAGGCAACACAATGCCCGAAAAAAAAATGTATTTCTGTATTTCAAGAATAAACGATTAGATTAAATATCTGGTAAAATCGTCGTTCTAGAATCCATTCGATT